AAGACATCTTGTCTGCTTTTTGGTTTGTACTTCTTTGGGGGGTTTGCTCTTCTGTGGAGTGGCTTTGCTAGGGACATGGGTTTGAACTCAGTAGGTACTGCAGTCCCAGCATTTTCCAACAGGGATTTTCAGCTGTATTTTTGGCAGAGTACTGCACCAGCCTTAAAAAATTGGTGCTACTCTGTGGTTTCCAAAATAACTCCTGTTTGCTTAGAGTCTGTCTGTGCGAGTGCGCTGGGCGCGCCCGCTCTGCAGGCATGGCTCTGCGTCCAGTAATCTGTTCTCGTGCTGTTCCCAGTCAGTTGCTGAGAACAGCTCAACAAGCTGTGGAGGTGCAGGAGAATGCAATTGGTTCTCCGGAAAGGGTTGGTGAAATTAGCCAAGTATGGTGATACATAGTTTTTCTCCAAAGTTTTCCTCTCCAGAAGGGTGAGCTTAAAGCTGCATTTGGCGTGTGACTCTGACTCAAAACTTGCACATACAGAGCTGCATGCCACAAGCCTTGCCAGCAGTTGTCACATCCCTCTTTCATCTAGTTTGGTTTTACTGTACTGTCTACCTTGAAACTACAAACTTGCCCTTTACTGTTCACATCTCATAAGTGGTGTGATCTGTAACTTCTGGAGAGTCCAGCTCACGGGATCGGTAATACTTCATGCCAACCTGAGTATAAACTAGTGCTTTTAGTTAGATAGCTTACATGGGGTTTATTGTATAAGATACTGAGAGTAAATAGGACTGGATTTGTCCTAATAGGAGTAACCATAGCTGCGTGCAGACTCTGCCAGGTCTCATGAGGGAGAAGTGTGGTGACTTTCTCTGCACACCACTTAAATGGACAGTGATGTTGGCAGAACTCATTTTGGCCCAGCCAGCATTTGCTTGGCTCTTCTGTCCTGTGTGTGAAAGAAACACAGGGGGAAAGTAATTACAAAGGGCTTATGTTAAAGCAGGACTAGAGAAAAAGGAAAACTTAACAGGGCTTACTTCAATGCCTCTTGATTGCTTTTCAGGGAAGTGTATTTCAGATGTTTGGCCTTTTTTAGTGGCCACATGTACTTGGAGGTAATGGTTGTGTAATTGTTTGCTGTGGGTATGTTGAATTTCCTTTCTGTTTTCCAGACCGGGATGAAGAGGAATTGAACAAACGTGAGGACAGAAGAGAGGGAAACAGGCATTGTAAAGAGAGGGCATCCAAAGATAAAGTAATTAACACCTTTCTTAATAGCTACATAGACCCTTCCATGGTTAGAGGTGTCCTAATTACAACTTCAGTTGATTTCTACTGTAAGACCTGTTTGCACTCCTTGATTCCTTCAGCACTTCTGGACTGCAGCATTAGGTTGGGGAGCATGGGGCAGCTTTGGATAAGGTGTTTTCCACCTGCTTCCACTTCCATCTGAAAGGTTGTTGGCTGGAAGCTGTTGGAAAACCTTCCTTACGTGAGATGTACTGCCCTAGCTGAAGGGCACGAGGACTAAGTGCTGCGTGTGTGCGTAAGGGGCAGCACGTGCCGTTATTTATCCCATTTTTTTCCGCTGCTGAATTCTTACGCTGAGTGATAAACTGACTTCTCAGTCGTGAAGCTTAGCATCATTACATGATGCTTTTACACCTCCCTGTGAGTAAAGGGACGCTGTTTGTGCCATGAGGCACGATGGTTCAGATCAAGGAACAGCATAGGTTGATTGGGTGTACAGAAACTCTTTGTAAATGCAAAGAGAAAACAAGTTTTTGCTGTTCTTTATTTTTTTTCTTGAAGGGCAAGTAGCTGTAGGAATAGGAGTGATGGGAAAACATGGTCCGCAGTCCTGCAGCAGCCATGAGTGCTGCGTGCTCATTCATGAGGTATTTCTGGGGGTTTCACACTGAGGACAGCTGTGCAGTCAGAGACACAGGATTGAGGGGAGAAGGGATGTTTGTTACTGTGTAATTAGGTTCATTCTGCGATTTCTTTTTGCGTATTAGCATGAGCAAAAGGAAAGTGAGTCTACCAGATTTCTAGACTCTCTCAATTGCTGTCCATGGTGATGTAAATCTTAAATACTTGAAAGATTGTCTGAAATAGTTTGGTTATATTACTTGTGCTCTAAGTAGGTAAATGCTAGCAATACTAATCACTTGACTGAAGGTAACAGGGAAATGAACAGAGAAAAACTTCTGAGTCTGAAAAGTTTTTCTACTTTTAATAGGTGATGGGAAAATTATATTATAACTCCCTAACAATCCCATAATTAATTTTCTATAGGAGAAAGACAAGACACAGATGGTAACTGTTAACAGGGATCTCCTGATGGCTTTTGTTTATTTTGATCAAAGTCATTGTGGATATCTTCTGGAGAAGGACATGGAGGAGATACTCTACACTCTGGGACTGCACCTGTCACGTGCTCAGGTTTTGTATAGTACCAGAAATTTCTTTGAAAATACTGCAGCAGTTTTGTAAGTGGAAGAAATGTAGTTTACCTTCTGAAGGCTTTTACCTCATCCTGATTTTTATGTAGCCTTTTCATATTTCCAGGGAAATACTAATTTGATCTTTTGTACATTGTCTTGGAATGAAAGGGTGAAGTTTGCAGCTCTGAGCATGCCTATGTTGTACATGTAGCTTTTGTCTCAGAATTGTGTGTATTTTTTCCCCTAGTTTATTTGTGTTTTAAGCCCCAGTTTTGCTGATGTTTTCCAAGGAAAAAGATTCTTGTCCAGGTAATAGGATGTGTGTGTACTAAGTAGCACTGTTATTTCTTCCCATGGCTGTGCTGTAGGTCAAGAAGCTTCTTAATAAAGTAGTACTTCGAGAGTCTTGCTTTTACAGAAGACTAACAGACACTTCTAAAGATGAGGAAAACCAAGAAGAGTCTGAAGAGCTACAAGAAGATATGTTAGGTGGTGTATTTTTATTATTTTTTATGCCACAAATGTCCAGATAACTATTTCTGTGTGAACGATGGTGAGAGTTCTGAGGTACTTGCTTTCTTGTAGACAACAGTTGAGCCAGTTTGGAAAAGTAAGTCTTGGGTGGTTCATAAATTACAGTATTTTTGACTTCCAACACATTTTATTGCATCTCTAGGATAAATCTTAATATCCTGGAACAGGAAGGAGGACAGAAGTTAATGCTGAGTATCAAGGAACAGCATTTCTTATTCACAGCTCTGCAGTCAGCAGGATCAGACCTGTAGGGAGTAGAACAGAGCTTGAGTTTTGAAGACAGTTTCCTGCAGAAAAGAGGCACAGAAGGATGTCCTGAAGGATAATGTGTCGTCTTTGTTCGGGGAAGGGAAGGAGGGAAGTGTGTGGGATAGACCAGCGAACTTCAATCTGTATTTATTTGTTTAAGAAGATTTTGAGGTTGGTCGCGAGAACTGAGAAATTATTTTGTTACAATTTCCTAATGCTGCTGCGTGTGACCCAGGAAACCGATTACTGCTGCCGTCGCCTGCTGTAAAGCAGGAGTCCAGAGCAGCAGAGGAGAACGTCGGGCTCATCGTGTACAACGGTGCCATGGTGGATGTCGGGAGCCTCTTGCAGAAGCTGGAGAAGAGTGAAAGAGTGAGGGCAGAGATAGAACAGAAGCTGCAGCTTCTGGAAGAAAAAACAGGTGGGATATTACTTTGCTCACATGGATGCAAGACATCGAGACTTTCTAGGCAGATAAATCAATTTGAGTAATATTTGTGATCTGAATTTTAGTCATTTGCTTGTCATAAACTTTGACTTCCTGTTTACCAAACTCTTTGAACTTGCACACCCTTGCTAAATGCTGGAGCTAAATGCTTCAAGTTGAATGTAAGACTTCCAAATGTAGTCAGAATTAAGCATCATTAAATTCTAACGCAGTGCAGGTTTTAATGATCTTCAGAAATGAGTGCTGTGGTGTTGGCAGGTAAATGGAACATTAGGTGCAAAGTGCACAGCACTGGGAGTGACTAACTCTTGTTTCTTCCCTTCCTCAGATGAGGATGAAAAAACTATACTGCAGCTGGAGAACTCTAACAAGAGTCTGTCTGCGGAGCTCAGAGAAGTGAAAAAGGACCTTGGCCAACTGCAGGAAAATCTGAAAATGTCTGATGCCAAAAAGTTGCAGTTTGAGGGTCAGCTGAATAAGACAATCAAAAATTTAGCTACTGTAATGGATGAAATACAGAGTGTTCTTAAGCAGGTAGGAATTGTTTAATTGCATTTTTTTATATTGCATGCAAACTTCTGTAGACTAAATTACTGGAGAATAAAAAATACTTTTGGCATGAAGTCAGGGCAGTAGTATCTTAACACTTACATGGAAGGAGTTCAATGTGACACCGGTGATTTAAAGGTAGCAAGTTAAATGTTATCAGTGAGGACTTTCTCAAGGCAGAATTCAAGGCTTTCAGGATGTGGGAGTATCTCAGAAAAATGGATTTTGAGCAAACCAAGCATTCTTACCCCTCAGCTTTTCAAGAAGATACTGGAATAGCTAAGCTGAGGAGGATACTACCAGTTTGTCTTGTGCTGCTTTGCAGTTCACATGAGAAATGTCATTTGTGCAATTCATGTCATCCTCTCCCTCTTCTCTTTCAAAGGACACAGCGAAGAGCGAAGACCAGAAGTCCAAAGAGAACGGAGCAAACGTATGATAAGCTGCTGCTGCGTAGAAGAATGGTGTTACATAATGTAATATAAATCATGAAACCAGAATGTATGGGAAGTGCTGCATGTTTGATTGTAGTAGTATAAATATCTTAGTTCCAAAGGATGTACAAAGTTTTATGGATGTGAGTGTTGCTGCTGAGGATTGATTGTAATTCTTAGCACTCAATTCGAGATACTCCTTGAGTGAAAATAATTTTGCATTGCAAAATGTTTTAGGATGAACTTTGTTACAGTTTTAACCCTAATAAAGTTCATCAGCGTAATGAACAGTAGCAAGTATTTAATTATCAAACTTTTTCATTGAGGTCTAGTGAAAGCAAAATTTTCATTATGTATAGAATTACCATTTTTAGGTTTTTATTTCGGTCTAATTAGTTTTTTAATTCAAGTATGAATCACAAAGTAGCATGCTGCTTCATTTTGCAAGTAAAGTGTTTTTTTTTAAAAAAAGAAAAAACTTCTTGGATTTTTTTTTCCACTTGTCACAACTTTCTTTTCCCTTGCAAATGTAACTCCCTGCCCCAAAGCTGCTTGTATCAAAGCCTCACACTATGCAGTAGTTCAGGCGAGTTAAGGAAGCAATAGAAACCTACCAACATGCTGGTAGGGGTGTGGGATTTGTATGAAAACACATGGGCTTGTTTTAAATGTGTTGTGTTCATTAAACTGTTCTTACCTTTGCATTGATAGGTATATTCCTTCTTCATAACAGTGCAGTGTGTGAGATGTGTGGCTGGATCCCAGGCCAGTAGATATCAGGATAATGCCTTACCTGGAGGAAAAACTGCCAGTGTAAGCCACCTGGGATTCAGCCTGGACTTCTTAGTGTGTGTGATGGCTGCAGAGACCTCGGTGCAGCGAGAGAGCTGTGCCCGCCAGCGTCAGTTGTGCACGTGGTCTGACGTGGCAGCAGCCACCACTGCGTCTGTGGAGAACGGTCACAGGTCACTAGAGGCTGAAACTTAGAAGTTAACATCACATCACGGTCAAGGGCAACTGACTCACAGAATCTGGAGTATAAACAGTTGTATTTTGGTGCAACTTCCAGGAAAGTTAAGGGATTTGAAGACTGGGACAGAAGTGTTTTCTTACAGAAATGGTTAATTTAGCAGACTTTTTTTCCAGTCTAGATGTCTTAGGTAACTAAGTACCTGTTAGGAGAGTCCAAGTGCCATAATATGTATGAATAACCTACATGGAAACTCATGTAGCTTTACCAAGTTCCACATTAAAATGCCTGAATTTCTGTTCAAAAGAGTAAGCTAGTGCTTTTATCACTTACCTTTCTTGGCTGTGTGGAGCTAGACAAGTAAAATAGCATTTCATTAAAGTAACGTGCATTCCTGTTTTGTCACACAAGGGGCAGAAACAGCTGGAGAACACCATCCTTCATTTTTGGCCCTTCTTCAGCAGGGCTGGATGGTAGCCAGCAGGTCACCAATACTGAACCTGATCTTTCTGCCTTAGTGGCCTTCCTGAAATCAGTCTGATAACCTCTTTTTGGGGGGAGGGAGATGGTGTTTTCATTATGCTGAGGAGAGGAAAATTAGATGACCTTTAGTACTGAGATGTGTATGGGTGGCAGCACATCCATGAATCCTCAGACTATCTGTGGGATCCAGTAACATGCCTGCAAGGAATGTGCAGTTAGCATTTTCAGTCCTGTGATTTGGGCATGTAATGATGGACAGCACAAAAGAGAACCTGTTGGGGTAATACGGTGTACAATAACTGTGATCCGTGGGCAAAACCAGGATTTGTACAGTGTGACCTCTGCATAGCAGTGCCTTAGAGGAGGTAGGATTGGTAAGAGATGGCTGTGTAGGTGTTCTGAGCAGTGAATTCATTCTGTTACCTACTTCATGCTTTAAGGGAGAGGAAATGAATCCACTTTAAGCCTTACTTTCAATGAAGATGGTTGGAAAAAAATAAGCAAATGCTACATACATTGTAGAACCTACAAAAATTCCATAAAGCACACCCTGAATTGGACACAAAATCTCTCTGTGAGCACCAGGTGAGCAGTGCCCTTACCTGGTCTGTTAAGGAGATAATTTCACCGTGAAGGAGAAGATGCACTCTGGAGCTCTGCAGAATAGGAAAAAACCCTGCGAGTACCGTGGAAAAAGCGTGCAGGGCACTGCTAAAGCATGGCCCGTGTCGTCCCTTGCCTGCTCTGCCAGCACTGCTTCAGGGAAGTATGATACGGGACAGAGCAGGAGCCCTAGTCCTGGGGCAGAGGGGGAGGGAGGCTTTTGTCTCTGTAAAATGTCAGTGCAAAACAGAGGCAGGTTCCTCCAGCACGAAATGGGATTTTCTGCAGGGAGAGTGCCCGGTCCTGGAGCACCGAGCAGTAAGGATGGGAGGGGAGAGCTCGGGCACGGCTGAGCACAGTGGCACAGAGCCAGTGCTGGAGCCCTGCAGTGCCACTGGATTGATTTGCTTTCATTTTGGCTTTCTTGTCTGCTTCGCCGCCTGCCTGTGTGCTGCCGATGCAAGATTCTCTCTCTGAGGAGCTGCTGGCTGGCACTGCCATCAGAGGCCTCATTGGCTGCAAGCACCAAACCGTGCTCAGCGCAGGTAACTGCTGCCTGTGGCACTGGGTGACTGGCAGTGTCAGTCCTGGCAGGCAGAAGTCCTGCAGTGGGGCTGGTAGAAGCACCTCTGTCCGGACGCACAGCGCCCTGTTAGTCGGACGCAGGGCACACGGGGTGTGCTGGAAGCCTGGTTTGAAGTCAAGGCAGTGGGACCTGGTGAGTCACTGCAATGTAGGCTGAGCACTTGGGATTCAGGAAAAATGTGGTAAGAAGCAGGTGTGCTGCTTGGGCTTTTGATGTTTTGTTTCCTGGAGGAAGTGACTGGACGGAACGTGTCCAGAGATGTGGCACTGAGCTGGAGGGTACAGTCACTACCAGTGGGAGACTAAACTAGTTTCATTCATCATGGATGTTTTGAGCAAATGGGGATTGGAGACACAAAACTGCTGGGGATGGGTGTTATGGATTGACTTAGCACAAGGATCCCCTGAAGCTCTGCCAGGGGAGGGTTAGACTGGATATGCCACACCTTCCAGGGAAATGCTGCTAATTGTTTTTTTCTGTTAAGCAGCTTTTGGCTGTGCACTATTATTTCAGTCACACGTTTTGTGTATAACTTGGACGTGAACACTTGAAATCTTTAGCAAAATATATTTCAGAGGGGCATTTTGACTGTTTGTACTGATGCCATCTGTAGCACCAAAAACTAAGCCAACTCAGTTTGACTTTGGAATGTGAAGTCTGACATCACATTGTTCTATTATTTCTGATCGACTGAAAAGATGAAGCCTCCTGCCAAATTCTGAAAGCACAAGTACTAATGCAAAGAGAAGGACAAGTGGAAGGACAATCTGAACAAAATTCCTTGTTTCAGCTATCTCTGGTCATGAATATTTTACTATTTTTAAAGAGATTTGTAAACATTCCCTTGACTATGCTGTAAGTGCAGTCAGTCACATCAGTGAGGATGTCACTAAATTGAAGCTATTAGCTAAAATTGTGACCGTGGTATTTGGAGAGCTCATGTGCATTTCGTTTGCTCTCATCTGTACTTATTTTTCGTGTCCCTGTTACAACAGAAATGAGAACTGGCACGGTTCATTCTGACCACACCGTTAACATGGAAAGGGTTTGTGTTGCTCTAATAGGAACTTCAGTTGGACAGGGCTGTTTTACACTGGCATTCTGGAAAGTGTTTCCTACTTGTGCCACAGAAATAGCAGGCTTCATCTTCCCTGTCAGAAAGCAAAACAAACTAGACACACACCTTGAGACTACAAAGCTTCCTTGAGTCCAGGGTTCTCTGTGTCCTGCAGAACTCTCAGCTGGCCTCAATGTACTCGGTGTGTTTGTATTGGGCGAGTGGGATTTAATCTTTCTGAACGAAAAGCTGTCGGTGCAGGAGACAAGAGGTAAGGTCAAGGGGCACAGCTCTGGGACAGACCCCACACTGCACCTGACCACCCCTTCCTGTAAGGAACTGCCATCCCGGGCACTGTCAGGATTGCTGCACAGCTTGTAGTTCATACGACTGATTCCGACTTCTTAATCTCGATTTATCGCTGTAGCCGAGAGCAGACCGTGCCGCTCTGCTGCGGCCGATCACCGCCCCCATCCTGGGGGCCCTTGGTCGCACTGCCCCGTTAGGCTCTTCCCTGCCGAACGCTTGTCCGCAGTGAGACCGAAGGCTGATAGAGTCACGGGCCGGTAAAGCTACTGCAGATTTCGGGAAGGTGCCGGTGCAGCAGTGCTGGGGCTGAGCAGAGCCCTGTGCCGCCGGCACGGCGGGTCCCGCCCGGGAACCCCAGCGCGCGCTCCTCGGCACGCTCAGCGCCCTCAGCGCCTCAGCAGA